CCAACCCACATGAGCCTATGGCAGAGGTTGCAGGCCCGTGCCTAGCTAGCTGTCCAGAGACAGCCTGTGTTAGCGTCTCTTTAGGCACGTCCCTCACAGGTGTGGCAAAAGAGTTAAAGGAGAGAATGCCAGCCTGGGCCAAGATGAAGAAAGAGAGTAAAGGACAACTGATCTTAGTAGATGTAGAAGTTTTCAGGAGTAGAGTTGGGGCCCTTATAGATTCAGGGCCCCCCCGCAATTATATTAGCCGTAGGGCGCTGAAGAAGTTGAAGCTAGGATTAAAAGTCCAGAAATTAGCAGACCCCATAGTCAGTGTTCTCGCAGACAACCGCACGATACGAGTCGAGGGCTATGTAGAGGGAGTCCAGGCGTACTTTCGCCTAGAGAAAGATTGGAAGGTGGAGAAAGTTCTCCATTCCTTGACTCTCCTCGTATAGGACGACCTTCCTTTCGATATAGTGTTAGGAATGGATTGGGGAGAGGCAGCAGGGGCTACACTTCATTTGAGAGAGTATGAGTGTAGGCTCCCTGGTCCGTCAGACGAGGTTAGAACTGCCCGTTTGTTCCATGTGTCAAGTGTAGATAACACCTTGGCACATTGCTGTCTCAGTGCTTCCGCGTTTGCGCGATTAGTAAAGAAGGAGCAGTTAGAAGACCAGGTCTTTGTAGTTTATGTTAGACCTGTCACTGAGGCCCAGGAAAAGGATAGTTCCACATATCCAACAATTGCCAAGCTGCTGGAAGAATTCAAAGACTTGACTGAGTCGCCGACAGGAGTAGTGTCGCGACCCATCGAGCATAGGATAGAGATAGAGCCTGACAGCAGAACTCCTAAGGGTACAGTCTACAGGATGTCCCCAAGAGAGTTAGAGGAGCTTCGCAAGCAGTTAGACGAACTCCTTGAGAAAGGTTGGATCAGGCCCAGTTCGTCTCCTTTTGGAGCACCCGTTTTGTTTGTCCCCAAGAAGGAAGGAGAGTTGAGAATGTGTATAGACTACAGGGGTTTGAATGCGATCACCGTGAAGAATGCTGRGCCGCTGCCCAGAATAGACGATCTTTTATATCGGGTGCAGGGTTGTAAGTATTTCTCTAAGATAGACTTAAAGTCCGGATACCATCAGATATATGTCCATCCTGATGATCGGTACAAGACTGCATTCCGGACTAGATATGGGCATTATGAGTTTATAGTGATGCCCTTTGGACTGGCCAACGTGCCAGCTACTTTTCAGCGTTGCATGAATGACCTGTTTAGACCGTGGTTAGATAAATTTGTGGTAGTCTACTTAGATGATATCCTAGTCTTTAGTAAGACCCTCCAGGGAGAGCACCAGGGTCATCTGAGGCAGGTCTTGGAGAAGCTTAGAGAGGCTAACTTCAAGATCAATACGAAGAAGTGTGAGTGGGCCAAGACGCAAGTCTTRTACTTGGGCCACGTGTTGGACGGAGATGGCATTAAGCCAGAGGACAGCAAGATAGTGGCGATTAGAGATTGGTCAACGCCCCGCACGTTGACAGAGTTGCGGTCGTTCCTAGGCCTAGCTAACTACTACAGGAAGTTTGTGAGGAACTTCTCCACTATCGCCGCTCCCTTGCGCAGGTTGTTGAAGAAAGAGACAATCTGGCAATGGGATAAAGACTGTAC